TGAAAAGAGGTGCGAGCTGCTTCTGTGATGCTGCTGTCTGCCTTTTTGGATTGATGTTTGGGGACACTTTTTGATGTCATTGTGTCGTTGGTGTCAAGACTACATGGCTAACAGTGTACAAACTTAGATGCCAAGCAGTACTGTATGTCATCAAGACAACAGGGCTACAAGAGAATGGATTTTGGTCGGTCCGTTTTGCGGGGGCGGGGGAGCACAGGTCAAGACCGTACAATCGACATCAATCGACTGCTTCCTTGATTTTTGCATGTCAAGACTCTGGGAAACCCAGATGTTTGGACCCCTCCGAAGATGTCAAGTCTATATGAAACCCAGTATAAACGTGTTACGAATGTTGTATCGCAGCTCACACATCGCCCGAACCCGTGGCCCCAAACTCGGATCCAAAGTCTTGGCAAGCTTGTTGTGGTTGGCCATGGGTCATGAGTGAAGGAGTTTGCCGAATCGATGATGAAGATGATGATGTTGATCCAAAATATAGAAAGTCCCTAAAGTGTTTCGGTGTTTGATTGAAAGTAGGTGGCTAGGAGGGGCAGGTGTTGAGGTTTTATTCTTGGTTGGAATTTTCAGGTACCTGCACTTCGATGTTCCCTCCACTTGGCAAGACGTCGCATAAACCCAACCACAACAAGCAGCGCACGGAAGATACTTTTCACACGGTTGAAGGTTTGCTCAAGCGATTGCATAAGTCTTGCGTTACGCCTATTGCAACTATAGAAAAGGATAAACAGCAGAATTCAAGTTAAACTTTCCCGCATTCGCAAACCAGCCCTAGGCACAGCCCCAACTGCGCTGCAGCCTTTTCCATCCGCGCGTGCCTGAGATGGTTTCCATTTCGGAATGAAGTCCAAGCAAACGCTTAGCGAGAGCAAAGGTGGTCAAAGCTATTCCAAAATGGAAAAGCATGACAAGGCGGTTCAGGCGCTTTCTGTTTTTTTTTTCTGTCGTGGGTGCCGCCTATCGGGCACGCATGTCATCCTCAGGATTGCCAAAGAGCTGTGAAGTTGGACCCTCCCACCTTGGAGGTGTGAGATTGTGTTGGAGGATCAACAGGTTCACAGTATTGGACGTTGAAAGCATGCATGTTTGTCACTCATGTGCAAGGAGCCCTTGTTGGGGTGGAGACATGCATGCGTCTGACACCGAAGCAGACCTTAAACTTATAACCCTTCATGCTGATTTGACTGCGCCCAAGGCCTGCGATCCCGTCCCAGCTCCTATGTCAGAATGGGAGTGCGGAACTTAGTGTAGAGTTTGGGGAGTATTTCCGATGATTTCCCAACCAAGCGCTGAATGCCACAGAAACTTCCGGATCAGCAAGTCTGGACTTCCTTGACATGCAGCTACAGTAGTTCGCGGGATTCCAATCGGATTGGAGCTGCGACTTCAGGATCGAAAGTTTTGAAGCAAAACAGAAAGCTGAAGCACAGGTGGGGGCAGCCTCCAAGTTGTGACAAAAGAGGCCGGATTCTCCAGAGCTCAAACCGCTGCCGGGCTCAGGCCAAGGCATCCAAAGAAGCGGCTGAAAAGTACGCCCGAAAGGTGCCAGCTGCACAGTAGAGGAAGAAGCGTCATGGGATACAATCAAAGTATGCAGCGTGCAAGTCTCATATTTTTGCAAAACAATCAAGCTCAGGTCGTGACGGCATTGAGTATGTTGTGGAACACTGCTGGAAAGCATGAACCTACTTGTAGTGATGAGGAGGGCAAGTAGTACATTGAAAATGTTTCTTTCGGCAGGCTAAGGCAGCTGCGGCAAAGAAATCACAAGAAGAAGCCATGTATCACGTCCATGTTTGATGGCCTTCCCTTTTGAGTCATGTAAGAAAGAAACGTGTGAAACTAACACCATGAATTTATTGCCATCATTTCTTGACAGGAGGGCGAACTTGAAAAAAAGTCGCGCAAAGCTCAGAGGATGCCAAACACCATTGCCAATATCTGGATTAGCAAATCCCAGATTCATGCTTGTTGCAGTATTGTTTGCATGGCCTACATTAAATGGCGTCCTCGTATATCCTGCCTCGGCTCCAAGGAAAAAAGGCCTGAGACTCTTGCCGCGGCCAACGGAGATTTCCTCGAAACCAGCCAATCTAGACAAACAATATTATGTTCGATACACTAGTTTCAGAAGCTAGAAAGCAGATCGTGGGTTTCACTGCCCAACCACAGGGTTGCAGTCAACGATGGACAGCTTTGGCCCACTCAGTGGGAGCTCATTGCTGCGGGAGACAAAGGACTGGAAAGTCGTTGGCTCATGGTTTGTGTCCGCTTTCCGATTCAGACCCCTTTTGCAACACCACATCCCTATGGTTTTCTTGGGTTTTCTCGAATTATCACTTTTTCTTCCAGGGTCTCACTTTGCGGCACCAGTATTCGTCTCTAGGTTCCAGTAGGCCTTCTCGATTATCCTTTCTGTGTTTCGGGAGTGTGGCCCGGCGCGGATAGCTTAAAGCCGCTGCTCCAGTGGTACAGGTATGGAGCAGCCACCAGGAAGGAAGGGGCTAATTATTGTTTTCATCTATGACCCGCAAACAGGAGAGGACTAGCTGGCCGACTACAAGACAACGTCAGTTGGTCAGGTCCGGGCATTGTGATCTGCGTTGAGCGGGACAAGGAGGTGCCCAAGCGTGTGTGGGTATGACTCCGGGTGAAGGGCCGAGGTTGGTCAGCCTTGGAGAAGGTACGCTTGGCAACACCCGATGAGATTGTGAGCCACTATATCAAGGAAGCCGCAGAGGACCTACAAAAGGAACCGCAGTCCGGATGAGCTAACACAACAATTGTCAACGATGAGGACGAAAAAAGACATTTGTTCTCGCGCACGCTTGGCTTGAACCTTGCGGGCCATCAGCGGGTCCTGTTTAAAGGTTGACCACGCCCCACTTCACCGGATACCATTGCGAAATCTGCGCTACTTCTTCCGCCAATGTACTTTGCTTGCTACGATGGCTGTTTCTCTTAAGTGTTCTTAAGTGTGAGAAACTGCTTCTCTTTCAAGCTCAGCCACGCACTCCACCTTGTGTCCGCAGTGCGTTTCCTTTAGCGGACACGCAAATTGTGAGCCCCAAGGGTTGTGAAAAAAAAAAACAACCCAGTAAAAAACAAAATGACTCGGATTTAAAAGTTAACCCATGTTCACCCTTACTTTTTTAGATGTTGTGGGTTGTTTTACAGTGATTAAGTTTATCTACTCGCTTTATGACTTAATGATGTTGCCCAGCAAGTCCAGTCGCCCAAATAATAGGAACCACGCTGGTCGCGTACATAGAAGGAACCAGGATGATTTTTTGGAACCAGGGGAGGGAATGGCTACTAGCTGCTGGATGTGGCAAGGATGCAACACTTTTGTTCAAGCTTCAACTCCGGCGCCTCTTTTCTTTGCCGGGGCTCATGTGATGAAGAGACTCCGATCGTGCCAGCGCTGGCGGAATGGAGGTACCTTCCCCCCAATGCTGCATTGCTGTGCTGTGTTTGTTCTGAGCCTCTCATACTTGATGGGCACAATAGCTAGGATTGGTGGCCATGAGTTGTTGGTATGCATGAGAGCAGCTGTCTGCGCGGACCTATATGGCTCTCAGCCTGCCCCACTCACTTTAAAGTGTTCCTGCCAGCAGTGAAAAAAGCACATCACTGCCCATGAGTGAAGCTAGCGCTGCTGACGACATGGAGCTACTAGACTTATTTGTGCATCATGTGTCATGAGTTCACCGACTGTGTGAGTAGCCGAAAGAGTAAGATGTCAGTTCTTACATGCACAACTCTTACATGTGACTTGTACCAAGTACCTGGGAGGCTGGAATTCCTCACGGGCGTCTTTGATGCCCACGCTCGTGAAATTGGGGCCAGCGAAATCCGTCAAGATCCCGACCACAACATGGTTGGAGCATGCACAGCTGAACCAACTGATCAAGGTGTGAGACTTTGGAGTTGCCCATTAGCTACATCCTTGTCTACTTTGGCACGGCAATTCCCAACCTGACCAAATTCAAAGCTCCTAGCCGGGAAATATCACTAGCTATATCCGGATTCCATTTACGCGACTAGCTCCGACTATTATTGCTGGACTTGCTGGGTACCTGAATTTGCATGCGTGATCCACCCCCTTCTGCCTTTGAGCTTCTCCACGCATGCGCCCAGGCCGCTTTGATGAAGGTGAGTGACACCTACGGATTTCACAATCGTGACCAGGTCTTGGTGAAAGACTTGAATAGCTGGGCTGAACTCCAATCTGGGATACTACGGGTGCATTGCACCTACCTTGTAAGGCTTTGGCGGAAGACTCCATATCGCTCAAAGCCACTTTTCACAATTGCAAGTTAACAAGCCTGCAGTGGTGCACGTGTTTCTAACAGGCAACCAGTTAGCCAGACATGTAGAGCTTTGCATTTGCACTCGGGATCACATATGAAATTGAGCTTGAGGTCAGAAGCAGTGCAAAGGTTGAAGGACATTTTGAACGAAGCCTGGAAGCCTTCAGACCCAACCCCACAGCCAGCACCAGCACCTGCAGGCTCTGTGGCCACCGTGGACTCTGTCACCACTGTGGACCCTTCCCCCCAGACCCTGCCTCTTCTGCTGCAGGACTTGAAACCCTTTCAGCTGATGCTCATCCGGAGCCTGCGGCTACAGGAGCTGCGGCCAGTGGTGTTGGAAGCGCAGTTGATCAAATGGAAACCCAGCTGGTGGAGGTACAGGACTGCAGGGTTGCGTGACTCAATATTCCTTATAATTGGAAATGCTGTAGACGCTTGAAGTGCCAGCGATAAAAACAGCAGTTCAATCTAGAATCAACTTGCAAAAATTTGCAAGAGCTGCAGTGTATTGGAGTTCACTGTGAGGCAGAAGCAGAAGAAGTTCCAGCACTCTCAGTACCTTTAGATCTCCTGCAGGCGATGCTGCTACTCACCTCGTTCAAACAAAACCTTTAC